GTCCGATTACCCTTCTTCCGGTAATCTCCAAGATCATGGAGTCCATTGTAGCCGAGGCCCTCATGGAGTACCTGGAGAAAAGCAACATCCTCGTTCCGGAGCAGCACGGATTTCGCCAAGGCAGGTCCTGCACAACTAATTTGCTGATTGCTCGTTCAAACTGGACAGAGTCTGTGGACGCCGAAGTCGGAGTGGATGTAGCCTACTTGGACTTCTCTAAGGCATTCGACCGACTGGACCATCGGATTTTACTGAACAAGCTGCAGCATTGTGGTATCGGCAATCCTATTCTAGGATGGATAGGCGAATTTCTCGTTCAACGTCACCTGAATGTGAGAGTCCGAAATACCCTGTCGGAACCAATCGAAGTTCAGTGTGGCGTACCTCAGGGCTCGGTACTCGGGCCTCGCTTGTTCATTGTTTTCATAAATGATCTTGCAGCTGCACTATCTTCCAACTTTCTGCTGTTTGCAGATGACCTAAAGGTATGGCGTGCCATAGCTTCAGGAGAGGATCACACAGCCTTGCAGGATGATTTGGACAAAGCATACAAGTGGTCAGACGAGAACATGCTACAGTTCAACACCACAAAGTGCAAAATCTTGAGCATACGCCATCAGATTGCGTATAACTACCGCTTAGGACCTGACATTCTACAGCGGACCTCTCATGAGTGCGATCTTGGCGTGCTTGTACAAGAAGATCTTGGGTGCTTAATGCAGACCGAAAAGGCCTCCAAGAGAGCAAACCAACACTTTGGCCTTCTGCGTAGAGAGTTTGGGAAGTTTGACGCCTCAATCTTTCCGAAAATGCTTAGCGCTTTTGTTAGACCGCACACAGAATACGCTATTCAAGCGTGGCAACCATGACAGAAGTGCCACCTCACTGCACTCGACACTGCACAACGCAGAGCGACAAAATACGTCAAAAGTCTTTCCAGCCTTCCCTACCCACTCAGGCTGAAAACTCTTAACTTATACAGTGGACGTTACCGTCGTTTGAGAGGCGATCTCATATTGGTGTACCGGATACTGAGAACCCCCAACCACCCGTGTCATTCCCTTTTGAAACGTAGTCAAAACGCATCCCTAAGAGGTCATCAGTTTAAGTTGATCACACAGTACAGTCGACTGGAATGTCGACGCAATTTCTTCTCCCTCCGAGTGTCACAAACTTGGAACGCCCTTCCAGGACATGTAATTAACGCTCCCACCCTATCCCTTTTCAAAAAACGCCTTGACGAAACTCTGACACGATTGCACTATGTGATATAACGTGCGACCATCGGATGATGGTATTAGTGAACAACGAAAGTGGACGGAATCCACTTAAAATTCCTATTGGATTATTTGTTTATGTGCACCTCCAATCCCTTGGTGAGTCATGCATTTCACACGTACTTTCATCGACACGATTTTTTAATTTTATGATGTTAATTCTCATCATCCTACGGGACCTGTCAAGCATTGCTTTTATACCCGTCATAAACCATTGTTCCATTGTTCCATTCAAAGCTGTCGCTAGATTTAGAACAAAAGTGTGGATTGTGACCATGTGAATTTATGCGCTGGCCAGCGAGTGGGTACCCCCACGATGATGCTGCGACTGATCAATTTAAGGAGCTTCAACCATCCAGTCCTGAGAGTGTTGTTTGGTTTAGAAACAAATTGACCGACATTGCTCACGAAGTTAAGACTGTCCCAGTGACTGAAAAATGCGCACTTACAGGTCGACACCTTCAGGCGCTACGTGAACTGCATACTAAGAACGTAGTTGTGATGTAACCGGATAAGGGCTCTGGAGTGGTGGTCATGAACAAGGCAGAGTACGCCCAGAAAATGAGTAGCATACTCAACGACACGAGTAAATTTGAACGACTTAATAAAATGGAGAACATGTCCGACGTTGAAGAAAGCATGGCTGCCCATCTTGAAATGCTTCTCCTTCATCGCGTGATTGATAGTGACACCTATAATTGGTTGAAGCCAAGTGGAAGCACTACTCCGCAGCTATACGGGTCACCGAAGACGCACAAGAGTGGAGTACCACTTAGGCCGATTCTATCAATGGTAAATGCGCCGCAGCATAAATTGGCTCGCTGGCTAGTGAAGATACTTTCGCCTCTACGACAACTGTCCAATCCATATAGTCTTAAAGATGCTTTTCAACTTATCGGTGACTTAGATGACATCAACCACTCCGATAAGATCATGTGTTCCTTAGATGTGGTATCTCTATTCACCAACGTCCCACTACAACAAACTGTTGAATACATATGTGAGCTAGCTGAGCACTGTAGTTATTCGTTACCAATTCCAGTCGAATTTCTAAAGGAATCCTTACTGCTGTGTACAGCAAATGTTGGCTTCCACTTTCAGAACACCCCATATCGTCAAATCGATAGCGTGGCAATGGGTAGCCCACTAGGCCCTGTACTTGCCGATTTCTTCATGCTGATGATAGAAAGAGGCATATCCACAGAAATAGCCCAGTTGCCATATTATAAGCGTTATGTTGATGACATATTGGCCTTTTGTTCATCGGAGCAGCAGATTGTCCAGTTGGTGCAACAACTCAACTGCGCACTTACCAACTTGCGGGTCACCTGCGAAGTGGAACAGAAGAATTGTCTGCCATTCTTAGACATCCTCATCAGTCGCAGAGATGATGGGCTCATTAGAAGGTCTATCTACAGAAAAGCAACCTGGTCCGGCCAATACCTGCACTTCACCAGCTTCACACCAGTGCGGTACAAGCGGACCCTTGTGAAAACTTTAGTTAGTCGTGCTAGACGAATTTGCTCCGCTGATTGTCTAGCCGACGAACTAGAGTTAATTACAACAACACTCGTTGCATATGGTTATCCACTTTGATCCATAGAGAGACACAGCCAACAGCGAGGCCCGAAAGACTTGGTGCATACGGCAGCCAAGAAAAAGATCTATATCGAGTTGCCATTCAAGGGTGACTTTACTGTATTGAAAACCACGAAACGTCTAATCTCTGCTACGCAGAGAAGTTACTGTGCTGCTCAGGTTGTGGTCATCAATAGAACCTGTAACTTGCTGTGCCTCCAACGAAGGAAGCTCAACCGATAGGGGCCAACTCACACTGCATATACAAATTCGTGTGCGACTGTGGAGACGGTTACATAGGCAGAACCAATCGGTCTTTGACTTCCCGAATAAAGGAAGACGTGCCAAGGTGGGTTCAACGTGAAATTGACCAGCATCCCTGTCCCACTGAAGTTCCGTGCTTGCGCAAGCCGCCAGCTTCCTCAATAGGTAAACACCTACTGACTACGCGTCACCGGATAGAGCTCGGATCAGCGTTCACACTTGTATTACGTCACCCTAATCCCCGCTTCCTCCGTTTCGCCGAGGCCGTTGCGATAAGCCGGATGAAGCCGGCCCTGTTTGTTTAAAAGCAATTATTTATCAGCTTAAGACTGCCGTGGACATAGGGATGGAACTTCCGTCATTCATTTTTCACCTCATGCTTATTCGGTCACACGCATATTTAAGTATATAGTTGCATACCGGATATTGTTAATGGTACTGAGCAGACAATACGAAATGCATGCATCTACCAGTTTTCGTCTTCTTACCGTGCTTTTCAAATTTCTGAAGGGAACTAACTGTATGGATAGTTAAGAAGTAGTTAGGTCAGTTTTTCTGCATGCTTATCAAGGTAAGCTGGCAATCATGCTAAGCAAACACCCACTGAAGATAGTAAATGTTCGCCGGTCGGATGTTCACCAGTCTTTATCAGCGGCAATATGCCTTCATATAACAAATCCGATGGTTAGACCAGTTAATGCGCTAAAAGCCACCACTGGAACTTTTAGTTCTCTCAGTCACATTCCAGCTAGAAGCGACCATGGCCCGTCCCACAGTGATCGCAGTACGGAGCTGATTGCTATCCTGCAGACAGAAAGCGAAGCTAGGTGACCTTATCATTCATCAGAGATGGGAACCGTAGCTGCTCTTGGCACATACACACAAGTCCATCTAATACTTCACGTTTGCGTTAGATGCACTGGTTACTTTTCTTCGGCATGCTTAATACCATATTGTGAAGCATAAATTACGAATTAATACACTGATTTCCGGCTGGCTTGCCGAACAACCTCGTCGTGGTGCCAACTGGGTGGTACGGGATTTTCCCGTTCCAGCAAATGGTTCGGTGACAGTGTTCCAGGAGGTGGTAGGTTTTCTCCTGGCACGCATTCTCAATATAAAAAGCCACGTATGTCCGTTTAATAACAACGTGACGTGGCGGAAGTGACTCGTCACTAAAAAAGTCACTGCCGCATGCTTCATCCTGGAGAAGCATTGAATTCCAGCAACGTTATGCTGTAGTTCTGGGGAGCATTGGGCCCCTGTTTGAAAAGAAACAAACGAAAGGCGTATGAACTGAGCATTGAGTCACCGGCTCCCAATGGGCGCGTTTCCTTAAATTCGCTCCGCTTTCTTGCGGACAGGCTATTCAGCCAAAGGCTCGGAGTGGTTTTCCATAAGTCAACACCCTACTTCCGCTTGGGTAACCGGGTAGTATCTCGCCCTCTGAAGAAGCCATAGAATTTGATGTGTTTTGATTTTTTACTATTTCTGTACCTTCTTTGGAGTCCCATAGTTTCTGATGGCTCTATCTTTATTCGAAGACGATATATATATATATATATATATATATATATATATATATATATATATATATATATATATACTGGTCTCCCTACATTGCTTGCAGTTAGCTTCATTTTCCTTTGATGGGGTTAGCTTCAGACTGTCCGTTAAGTCTTTGCTCTTTATAACGATTGCAATAATGTCTTAATTGGTGAAATAGTGTAAACCCGCGGCTACTAACCATTTTGTCTGACGGCACGCAGGTGGCTTGCTAATGGGTTACATAGAAGTAACCAACAGAATGTCAAGAACTGTGTTGAGTTTCGACTTTTTTTGAAGTGAGCATGAGTTACGGTTACCCAAAAGCGTTTCAGTGTCCTCTTTAAATGCAGTGAAATTTTAACGAATAGTTACCAATCGGATTTTTGTATTAACCCCGCTTTTTCACACCACGAGAGGTTTGATACAATTTTGATTATTCGGGAGTGTAAATTTGTGGTACTATCCAGTACGTTCCGTCCGTCGAACAGACTGCATTGCATTTTACTGAATGATCGTAAATGAAAGTATTCACTCTATCTGTAGACGTGTTTCAGTCTACCTCAGTGTTATCTTCCCCAGGATGTACTCGAAGTTTTCCAAGTTTTTCTACAAAGGTTCTCCAGTTCTGCGGCCCCAGTATTTCGGCCAACGTTTGCATAGGTACCGATGTTCGAAGATCTTCTGTTAGGGTCTCATTTTGTACAATGCGGTAGAGATCCGCGAATAACGGCCGTGTTTTTACAAGCTTGCCTACCAATGCATCGTTTCTTTCGTCCAAGTCAAGTAATGTTTGGACTGCACTATGTGTTGCCAGTAGACTGTCAATCAACTGTCGCCTTCGCTCACTGAGTTCCATGTTAAGAGTTCGATGCTGCATTTTGGTCTCTTCAAATGCAGCGCGTAAGCGGTTTAGTTCATCTACAATAAGCCCACCGAGCTCGAAAACTCGGCCCTGGATGGTTTGTACCACTGTCGGTAGTTCCTCAATCCGAGCGGAACTAGCCATGCGCAACATGTTATCCTCGTCTGCGGAATGTCCTTTGCGTTTGTCGTACGAAGTCTTCGGACCTCCAGGTAAGCATGCATTCTTTCTGCTTGCTAAATGAAAGTTGTCCCGCACCTGTTCTGACCACAAACTGATGACCAGGAAGCTGAACTCTGCATGCCGATGGGCGAGATCGCGCTGAATTTGTACTAACCAACTCATCCGAGCTAGGTCGGGGCTAATCTTTTCCTTTAACAGGGAATCTGTGCCTAAAGTGCTGTAGGCTGTAGGTTTCCCTTGATCAATGATACTTTCCAACGTCTCTCTTGTTGCTTTCGGTATCATATAATGCTCGGGCGTCATACCAACAGAATTGAGTGGAATGCGGCTTGATGATAATACTGATTTACTTGAATCTACACCACTCTGAATTGTTTCATCCAACAACGCGAGTTGGTCCAGTAATCGAAGGTTAAACTTTTCGCTTGTTCTAAGTGCATTCATAAGATCCGAAACTTCCTCCCGAATAATTGACAATTCTGTTAGAGCGCGAAACAAAGCTTGTTCCAGTCCAAAAATGGAGTAACTTAAGCTGGTCATTTCACTGGAAATCCGGTCATACTCCTCCAGCGATTCAGCGCATATTTCGAAAGCAGCTTGTAAATCAACTACTGGCTTTGAAATATTGCGGCTGTCCGAGTAGATGTACGGATAATACGATTTGGCTAGTTGTCGAATGGATTCACCAAAAGTGGCTTTGATCGGACCATCTCTAGTTGAACGCACTCGAAATGAGCTTGACATGTTTCTGACCTTCACACAGCGAGCTTTCTTGCTTCCTCAATCAAATGAATCCCAAATGACAGTCTGCTAGTGAGGTCTATACACCGGCTGAACTGAAGTGGAGTTCATCTCAATCTCTCAATGCTTCACGGGCACTGCATGATCGACCATACCGAAAAATCGATTAGTGTGCAGTACAAATCTAGAACTGGCCTTCACATATTTCAGTGTATCAAATTGAGAAAACCAGTAAAACATTTGTTAAGAAGATAAATTGCTTTTTGTGGCCGCAGTTATCAAAAGAAAAGGTGATTTTAGCGTTTTTATTCTTTACGTCTTTACATTAAAGCATATGTGGTGGGACACATTGCTACGGCGATAAGCCGGCCCCAGTGGCTTTTGTGTTGTGAGTTTCTTTGTCCATCCCCACCCTTTTAGATTCGCCTCTAACTCCGATCTCGGAAAAAATACATGAAATTTAACCTTCTATTACGTGCTTTTGAGATTTTTGTAGTGTAAATTTCTGAACATTAGCTTTCTGTATTGTGGCACATTAGCAGTGGTGTTTTTCTCCCTCTCAACTAGCGTGCATTGATGATGCTGATGATGATGACCTCTTTACACTAAATGCATTCTACCACTTATAAGCTATTGTCTTAGAAAGCTTGTTTATGTTTTAACTCACAAAATGCTGCTTCTTTTTTGCACACGGAGTGAGTTTTACAACTGCCGAGGCAGCGATACCCCTAAAACCGGATGCCTCATTTTTCACCAATGATAGTTTACGAGTTTACCTTTGCTTAGTTACTCATTACATTCAGCTCTCCTTCAGGTCGACTTATGCATCAGCATCATTATTACACACGTTAGCTGCAGGTGGAAAACACCTCAGCTATTGTGCCGCAATGTTAAAAACAAGAAGAAACATTACAACAGTGGCACGCCCGCTGAGGCCCTAGTAACGGATGGACATCGATCCGGATAGCTAACAGCCGGCTATCGTGCCGTAAAAAGAGAGTCATATTATGCCTAACGAGTGAGATCGTGATTGGAGTGGGATGCTAACCAGGATGGGGATGGACAAAGGAACTCACAACACAAACGCCATTGGGGCCGACTTTTCGCCATATCTGCAAGTGTGCCTAACCAAACGTGTTTATCGTCCTTAGGACCCAGCCAGGCAGTCGGGTTACGCCAACCGACGCCAACTTTGAAGTAAAGGTTTTCTTTCCTCTCGACCAAGCCCTCACTTGTCCTCTCCTCCTTCTCTTCCAACCGCACCCGCTGGTACGTGATATAATGGTGTTGAGCGGTTCACTCGCTCTTCCTGCACCAAATACTCGACGCCGAACACCCTCATTGCTCACGCGGTGCTCCCAGCAGACATGAGCTAAGCCACGAAGGCAGCGATGATCGAATATGACGAGCCTCTTTATGCCTGTTGACCTGATAGGCCAGGTTTCACAACCATATAGGAGAGTTGAACGGACGACTGCGTTGTAAACGCTGCCCTTCAGGGCGAGAGTAATGTTGCATCTGCATCACAGGTGACGGAGATTGCCAAAAGCACCTCGAGCTTTTGGTATAAGCTTCGTAACCTCATCTTCGATCCCACGGGTGCTAATATAGCTGCCCAGGTACAAGACCTCCTGAACAATTTCTAGCTGATCACCACAAAGCGTTAGCGCAGGGTTGGGTCCTTGCCATTCTTGGAGAACTACTTGCATTTCAATAGAGAAATGCATTGCTCAAAACGATTGACAGCTGTTGCTAATCCGTCCAGTGCAGTTTGACATGTTTGCAAGCTGTCACATATTAGGACAATATCGTCCGCATACTCCAAGTCAAGAAGTCATTCCCCAGGAAATAGCTCTACACCTTCTAGGTCGTGTCCAGCGAACGCTGTTTCCATGACTTCATCAATAGCGTAATCAAAGAGGAAAGATGACAACGAGCAACCTTGTCTCACGTCGCTGTTGATAATGAAGGGTGGCAACAGTCTGCCATATATCTTCACTCTGTCTGAACCGTGCGCGTTCAGCGCTTTGATAATGTTTACGTATTTATCAGGCATATCATTCCTCAGCAGACAGTCCCAAAGGGTACATCGATCGATCGAGTCGAAGGCGCCTTTCATATCAAGAAACAGGACAACGGTGGGTCGCCAGTAAACACGTCGGTGCTCCAATAATTGAAGCAAGGTAAAAATGTGGTCCATGCAGCCCCGTCCGCGACCAAATCCGGCTTGCTCTTCACGAATCTGGCTTTTACGAGTGCCAGTCAGTCGGTGGAGAATGACAACCGCAACTAATTTGGGGGCAATTGAGAACAGACTGATCCCTCTATGATTGCCGCATTCCGAACGGGAGCCCCACTCAAAAATTGTGACTATGACTGAGCGGCTCCAGTCTGTTGGGACAGTCGTCTGCTCCCAAAGTTTCACTAGGAACTCGTGTAAATCATCTATTAGAGCAGGTCCCCCCGGAATTTGAAGAGGGCGGGGGGAATTCTGTCTGCCCCTTATGCAATTTCAGCAGTCTGATCTCACGTTCGACTTTTGTGCCTGAGGGCGAACCCAAGAAGACGGCCCAGGGAATAGGGTGCTCAATGCCCGAAAAAGAAAGCAATAACTCAGGTTGGTTAAATTGCTTTGAAAATTATTCGGCCCAGTGTTCCAAGCCTTTTGACAGGCTGTGGATCGGCAGCCAACTCTCGTCGCGTATTGTCTCGCTAACACCAGGTCTCCTGATGCCTGTTTCCTATATCAGATGGAATAAGTTACGAAGATTACCAACTGCAGCTGCTGTTTCCATTTCCGATGCACGACTAGACCACTAGGCTTCGCGATCTCTCATCAGACTAGCAAGCAGCTTTGCCCTAAGAATTTTGCGAGTCTCCTTGCATTCGTTTCCAGCTGGAATACGTCGGCGAACATCCATAAGTTCCAGAGACTGTGTAGAGACCCAATGTCCAGTTTGGCAATTTGCTTTGCCACATGAAGACATGGCTGCTAACAGTAACGTTTGACGAATATGCGACCAGTGATCTTCGACGGTGTTCAATGGGCGCTTACTCAGCTCGGATGTCAGCGCACTTTGATACACATTCAGAACACCTGGCTTCGCCAGCTGGCTGGTGTCAATCCGTTCACATCGACGCTGCGGACGTCCGCCGAAACGCACCCGGGAGGTCGGCGCAGACAATTTTGTGGTCAGAGTCTACGCTCGTGCTCCAAATCGAGCGACAGTTTTGGGCACAGCCTCTCCAGAGGTAACTGATCGCGATTTAATCGATTTGCGTCCATGGCTGGCGCGAGGCTGGTGGGAGCCAAGTCACAATTCTGCGGGTGCTGTGTCGAAAGTTAGTGATCGCAAGAAAGTGACGAACATCTATACACAGCTGTAGCAATCGCTCACCATTATCATTACGGGAACCTACACCACGTTGGACACTGAGATGAAGCCGATCAGATGACAACTTTCTGACTTGAGCGCTTAGATCGCCAGTCCACACCAAAGTATCCGTGCTTCTTCTGTAATGATGGAGATGGTGAAGTTGCTGATGGAAATCATCTTTCATGGAATCCATGCTACAGTTTGTAGGGAGCGTAGGCCTCAATGACGAACAGGCACCGTTTGTTCCCGCGCAACTTCGTAGCATGGAACGAACCAGCTAATGTAACGGCGCACATCCTACTGTTGACTGGGATCCAATCGATCAGGGCAGCTTCAGTCCGGGAACTCAAAAAATGCCGCCGCCAGCTTGACCGGCATTTGAAGTTACGTCATCGTCAGACAGGTGAAGTGAGAATCTGCCGCCAGTGGCGCATGTGGGGGGTCGCAGAGTAAGCACGGAACTCGTATCTTGTAAGCGAGTTTCTGATAAACAGCAAAGATCGATCGATAGGGTCTCTAGTGTGCGCTCAAGTGCTGCCTGTTGGCCAATCTGCAGCAAAGTGCGCACGTTGAGGCATACCAGTCTTAGCGAGACACGAGGACTCCAAAGGGAAACGGATGAACTAACCTTGTCCGCTTGCTTGAACATGGACTTGTTGAATGGATAAGGGTGACGCCCTGCGATTTTGTGTGATCTGAAACCAGATGATAAGCGACTACTGAAGCAAGGTGGGGGAGGATCAACAATTGGGGGATTGAAAATGGGGGAGATAAGAGTAAAGTTGGAGCGGGACGATAAGGATGAAACAGGACAGGAAGGAGGATAGGAAGAGAGGAAGGTCTGAGCAGTAGCATCCAAATCACTATCCACCCTTTTCGATGCAGCAGTTAGGGAGTCGTTTATTATCCTCCGCGACGGCCAGAGCATCAAGAAATTGTTTGATGAAGGGTTCATTGTATTGTGTGGACGGAATACTGTCAGGTTGCCCAGGCCTAGACAACAGTACGATTAGGGTTCTCAAGCAAAGCCTTTGGTTCTAAAACCTGGCCTCGAGGCAGCGGGTTTGGTGTTGGGCTACAAGGAGTCCGTTTTAAGGAATAAGTAGCCATCCCCATTCCAACCCCCAACCTGGAAGACCAGGAGGCTGATTTCCTTTGACCGCTAACCATTGACCAATCTGGTAGGAGTGCCACTGAAGGTGCAAAAAGCACCACCCAGCATAGCCTAATGGATCACTGAGGCACACAAACCATCGCACCAAGTTGAGGTCCAGTCTGGTCGTGAACGTCGAGTTATGCAAGAAATGCTAGCCCAGTGAGGACGGAATATAGTCAAAGTCAGCCGATTTCGTACATGTAACTGCTCTACACAGTGCTATTGTCAATACAACGTTAAGCATCGAAGAGTAGATGCAAATCAAACTCGCAATTCTCATTGTATGACTTCCTGTCCCAAGTAGCCTTGAGGAAGCTATTCTTAAATAGCTGGCTAAGAAGGCACTTCTGATCATGTTGTATAGTAACATATGGCTTGAATCGGTGGAAGGGGGCTTATGCTGTACACTTTTCGCTGGATGACATTTCGTTGTACCAGTGTTTTTAAACGTGTTGCCTTACGACGACGAGACTATAAGTGTAAACCTTCACATAGATCTGATTGGTTGTAAAATCTAAGCACAGGTTAGGATGAAATCTACATCCGTTTTATAGGACCGAGACCTTGTACACAGAGGAATTTTAAAAAGGCCGCTGGGTAGCAGGTAATAAACCAGTTGCAAAAGAGGGGTTACCCGAGGGAACTGGTGCAACGCCAGTTGCAGTATGTTCTAAACCCAAATCACGGAATGCACTGGGACGGGATGAATTCCTTAAAAAGCAGGAACTTCGGAAGTAATTCGAAACGTATTAAACGAATAAAATAGGCTAGATTTTTTAGCAGGGTCAGACGATCTATTAGGCATTGGTGTATTTGTAGGACTGACTACGAGTGTACAGGACAACCAACTGCGTC